TTTGGCCTAGGGTATAAAGGTAGATTGGGCAGTTACAGGTGTAAGTAGCTGGGTTTTGGAGGTACTAGGGTGTGTAGGGTAGTTTTGGGATCTGTAGAAGTTGAAGAACAAGGTTTTGGAGGAAAATCAAGGTTTAATTATTTTTTTACTTGCTGCGGGAAGGTTTTTTTTGGAGAACTGCGTTGGGGAACATAGTAAAAAACAGCTTGTTTACATCTGTTTTTGAACTGTAGGACCTTTACGGGGATTCTTAAAACTTACCAAAGCTTGCAGATTGTGATTTTCAAGGTTGGAGCTTAATTTTGGTGGTAGTAAGGTTGCTAGAAGCAGCACCTGAAGCAATCCGCTTCGATCCGCTTTTTAGCAGTTTTTTTGTAGAGTGGCGGTGTTCCGCTACATAGGAAACCCGCTTGCGCTCCGCTCTCAGGACAGGCCCGCTACATGGCCTGTGTAGCACAGCGGGTTTTGGAACCGCTCTCGCTCCGCTTTGTCAAATTTTGAGCGGGGGCAGCGGCCCGAGGCGGCGGTTTTTATTCACAATTTTTTTTTAATATTGACAAAGCAAAGAAATATGTACAAGTTAATCAAATAACAAAATATACTGAAAGGGGCATTAATGAGTGACTAGAAACGTTAAAGAAGGAAAACTAAATAAACAAGCATACTGAAAAGAACATTAATGAGTGACTAGAAAGGTTAAACAAGGAAAAAATCAAAAACAAACCATATACTAAGGGGGAAATTAAGGAGTGACTGGAAAGGTTACAAAAACAAAAAGAAGTTGAGAACAAAATTAGGAAAAGGAGACAGACAAGAAGAAAAAAAACATATTGAAGACAAACACGAGGCCAAAGAAAAAAGTAAGACAAAAGTATGGAAAATAAAGATGTCCTCATTTGCGTGCATGACTTTCAAACGAGGAAAGATACAAAAGGGCATCAGAGAATTTGTCCTCTGTCATGATACCCCCTCTTAGCCATTCCCTGAATCCGACTGCACGAGATATGGTCTTCGGTTTTAAGGAACCTCGTCCAGGAACAGCTATGTCAGCTGCCGAGGAGAAGGTCCGTTCTGAAGCGCACGATGTACCAGAAATTGTGAGGTAGTCGCGTGCCAAGGAGGCAAGAACCTGTAAGTCAGGTTCGTTTTGCTGTCACAGCCCAAATACAAGATAGATGAGTCAGTCAATTGTTCAAATGCGGGTTACTGAAAGGAAACTTACCTCCCACCACGACAGTTCTGATTGGCCAGGCACAATCAGATTACTTCCCTGCAAGTAAGACTCAAGTTCGGAAGCACGGATTGAATCAGGAGTTCGAAGGCTAGCAGACAATGTGAAAAGATCAAATTGATCAAAGGTTGAGGTTTCATTCAAGCCAGAAGGAGGAGTTGGAGATGGAGTGCAGGTCGGAGTGACTGTCCAATTTTCCAACGCAGTGTTGAAGCAGTCTTCAATAAGCTGCCTAGCTCGCGCAGCATGATCAGGGTGATGTAATTCAAAAAATCGGAGTCGATACTTGGGGTTTAAGACAGTTGCCAAGATTACTACATCAGAACTCAAAGCTTCGTCCTGATAAACGGAAAGCTGGGCCAACATGACTTTGATCATGTCTCGGAGGCTCGGGAAGATGGTGGTAGAGTGTAGCTCGGTCAGGGAGTCTTTCACGCGAAGGTACTCTGCAAGCAGCATCGATCCAGATATCGTGTTCCCTTCCATACGTTTGGTTGAAAGACAAAACACCTATCATAGAGAATAAAAAGATTGAATCAGAAAAGGATTAATGAAATCAATAAATTAGAATGTACAAACTAAAAAAGAGAAATTAAGACGCTTACTTCCAAGACCTTGCATAAGGAATCGACTGCATCCCACTCATCCATAGACATCATGATACCATTGTAGTATCTGGTCTTTCGATCGCCGATGAGAATAGAATCGACAACCTACAACAAGTGCATCATTAGAATCGAAATGTTAGTATGAGATCTGATTCCAAAGATTGAGAAAAAGAAAGCACTGCAAACATCATTCGGGTTCCCCAAGTGGGCAGGAAAAAATGATTGGGAGTATGATTTGTCATAAAATGGTCTATCACTCCACACCTGAACCATAACACCCACACTACATATGTGTAGCAGGCTCAGTGAATATGTGGTTATCATGTACATACAGTTCTGCTCAGTTATCTGCTCATCAGGATAAGTTCTTCATATGTAATACATGCTGTAACTTCTTTCAGATTGAAAAAAGCTTCCAAAAGATTGACTACATACACTGACTCAATGTTTTGGTGTGATCTCATCAACTCAACTGCATGTAACACACTTTCTGTTACTAAGACATAGCTTCAACAATATTGCTTGAGTAGCTACAGAATGATATGTAGTAAATTTTTGGGAAAAAAATTCCAAAGTCGAAAAAGTTACATGTGGTATAACATGTGATTTATTTATTCTGATGGGCAAAAAACTGAGCAGACCTGTATGTACATGATAGACAACTATTGACTCAGCTTGCTGCGCATATGTAGTGTGGGTGAAATGGCTCAGGTGTGCAGTATTAGATTCTTTTATGAAAAACTGTACTATTAATCATTTTCCTCTTCCAAATTGGGGAAGTTGAATGATGTTTACAGTGAAGAGAACTCACGTCGCGTGCAGCCACAAGGTGAGAATACATCGCAAGATCGATGTTCCAACGCACCCCCCAGCCAGCGATTGGTCCTGGGCCACGATATCCCATCTGGTCAGCACGTGCGTGAAACTCGCCTCGCCTGGCGTTACTCCGGGTAAGCAAGGCATTGAACTCCTTCAACTATGAAAAGAACAGTCAAATTAGCTATTGAATAAGATAGAAGAGGAATAGTAAAGGTGACTCACTTTCATTGTACCTTTTACCACCACACATCCATCAATTGGAACATCTTCATAGGATGGATAACGATCATCTTCTTCATCCTTGTCGCTCGAGATGGCCGTATCGCAATGAGGTTGAGGATGTAGGACATCATCCTCATCGTCGGAATCATCGTAGTTGATAGCACTGTTGGTGAGATCATCGTTTAAGAGTACCGTGGGAACAGGAATGGACGCATTGAGAGGGATGGTTGGCTTTATTTGACCAGCGGCTAATCCTAAAACTTTGAGCCCCTTCTTGACAACCAACCCAAGCTTGTGGGCAAAGCAGCGGACATGATTCTTGGCCGAATCCCAGTCGATCGGATCATCACACTCGGAGAACATTACCTCCATCTCCCTAGCCATGGTATTGTTGGATGATCCAGAGTCGGTGGTTTGACCTAGAATGTAAAATCGAAGAAAAACACAAGAGACAAACAGAAAAGAAATAAAAAATTAGTTCAACTTAAAAAGGCTGAAACAAAAAGAAATCACTCATCTTTTTATGGAGACCATGAGTCATCAAGAATCGTGCCACGGGCTGAGCAAGTAAATAACCAAATTTGTTCCAAGCTACTAGCTTCAAAGTGAGATGAACAGTTTTATACTTCCAATTTTCGTCGATATAGTTGGCCGAAACCCCAATGAAGGCATATCGATTTCCTTTGGTGGTCCATACATCATGGACCAAGGAAAACTTGCCAGAATTGTTCTATTTTGAGTCGCAAGTAAGAACAGTCAGTTAGTTATCTCTGATGTGCCAATAAACCAAGAAGAATCAACATACCAATACTAAAGCAATGGCTGCTGAACTTAAGCTGAGGTACAACTCCTTGGCCATACCAGCAGCCCAAGTTGGACTCCTCAACGCAGCTCGGCGATTGGCTAGCTTGAAAGCTGCACGGAGAGGGGTGTCGTAGAATCTATTGAAAGGGAGAGCGTGTTTTAAGATCCATATTACCAGAACAATGTTGCATAACTCGACGCTGAAAGTAGCTTGCGATAGGAAAGCGTCAAGGGTGGGTTGGCCGTTGAGATCGTTGGTAGCAGTCGCAGAGACTGCTTGCTCTTGAGCCCAAGTCAGCGGGAGGACGGCGCCACTTTCGATGGCTTGAGATCGTCGAGGGCAAGCTGATCGACCCTTAGCCCCATCACGGTGAGCATAAAGGTTATAGTGAGTGCGAAGACCACGCACAAACATGGCCTTGCACCACCGACACCTGTATGACCTGGGGTTGTCACCGGTCTATTGATGATGATAAGAAGCAGAAAGAAATTAAAGATGATATAGAAGAAAAAGAGAAATAAAATGACTTACTTCGCCTTTTATATGAGTCGGAGGATGGAAGTATTCAAGTAATTTAGTAACCCTTCCAAGTTGATCTTTTTGAACGCCTGGTGTCTCAACCACCTGAATGTCGGAGTCCTGATTGATATTGATGCAATCAGGTATCCCGGGCTGTGTGAAAAAGAGAAGTACATCAGTGAGATTGAATAACGGACAGCCTTGAGAATCTGAAGAGGACTTACTGGTATGCCAACGGCCTTTTTCTTAGGCTTCTTCGATGGCCCTCGAGCTAAGTTTGATGAGGCTCCAGAGCCCCTAGGCCGACCTTTACCTTTCCCCCGCGGAGCCTTTGCCTTCGGAACTTTCTTTTTCTTCTTTAGCAATGATAAAAAAAACTTCGCTCGGGTGATTTCAACGACAGATTCGTAATCGGAGTCGGAGGCAGCTTCCGAAGTATCAGGGGGTGGAAAGTCTGGCAAGTCACTAGCATCTGAGGTGCGATGAACGGATCTGCGAGAATCGGGAGATTGAATGACATAGCCTGGCTTAGGTTCAGGGCAGGTGGTTCTGGTTCGAAGACTAGGACCGGTATTGGTGGATGGAGGGGCAAGACTAGAAGCTGAATGCGCCATAACAGTATCAAGACTATTG